CTGAGATCCAAAATACACAAATATTTGACAATTTGTACAAGACTGTATTAATAAGAAAATGTGGCACGTATATAAAGAGTAGCAGCCTCACACAGATTAAGGAAAATGACACTGATTACGAATGTCCCCAGCCTGAGTTGGCTATGTTGCCTTTGTACACTTCAGCCCTCTGAGCTGCAGTGGGAGTGGTTTCTCTCCTGAAAATGTCTCTGAGGCCCAAATAGCTGAAGAGGTGGAGACATTACAGAAACCAACTGGAGCCCCCAGAACTGGCAGACACCTGCCTGATGATGCCATGGGCTCCCAGCTCCTTGTCTATGTGGTCCTTTGGCTCCTAGGAACAGGTGAGTCCCAGAACACATGGGCAACTCTTGGCCTTATTTTGTAGATCTCAGCCCAAGGCATCTCCTAAAGGCTTCAGCACTGGAGCTCCCCTTCAGCTCTGCCTCTAACTCTGTCCCCTTCCTTTACAGGCCCCTTGGAAGCCCAAGTGACCCAGAACCCAAGATACCTCATCACAGTGACTGGAAAGAAGCTGACGGTGACTTGTTCTCAGGATATGAACCATGAATATATGTCCTGGTATCGACAAGACCCAGGGCTGGGCCTAAGGCAGATCTACTATTCAAATAATGTTGAGCTGGTTGATGAGGGAGATGCTCCTGAAGGGTACAACGTCTCTCGAAAAGAGAAGAGGAATTTCCCCCTTATCCTGGAGCGGCCCCGCCCCGACCAGACCTCTCTGTACCTCTGTGCCAGCAGTTTATCCACAGCACTGCACAGCCAGCTGCTCTCTGCACAAAAACGGAGGGCAGCTGCAAGAACAAGAAGATTCCTCCTTCAGGAGACCCCTCTCCAACCAACAGGAAAAACTTCCTCCATCATCGCACAGAAGCTCTTCCCCACTCCCCAGCCTCAGGGACTCTGCAGTGCAGCTGCTCTGCAGAACCAGGGGTCCATCCTCTACCTGCTGTCCCAATGAGATTTCAAGGTTCAGCAGGACAAGCTAACTGCGTTAGGCCTAGTGCCAGGGTACACTCTCCAATCCTTTCTTCTTGTGGAGCTTAAATCTTTAAATTCGACTAAGCTATTGCCCAAACTGAAGACTCCATTTCCAATCTAATGGCTCTCAACGATATTCGGTCCTGTATTCCAGGTCCTATTCAGGAGGTTTTGTCACTTGGAGGAACACCATGTTTGGGGTTATTGACGAAATCCAACACCTCCTATTTTCTTCCTCTCAGCAGACGGTCCTACCATCCATCCAAATGCCCAAGCCAGAGACGCAGGACTGATCTTCACCGTCTCTCTGACTTTCTCCTTCCATACCAAATCCACCACCCCTCCCACATCCTGCATTTTTCTAAGTACTAAATTCCTCAAAAGTTTTACTAACTTATCTAACTTCACTGATCTCACCTGGATTCCTTTAGCCACCTTTCAAGTAGCTGCCCTCTCTGCAAGCTTGCGACCTGCCCCCACCCACAAACACTCCCTCAAGCTTAAAACCCTTTGACTTATTTCTATTAACTAGCTAAAGTCGCAAGTTCATCTTAGTTTGCAAATCCCTCAGCCCTCTGCATGATGTGACCTTTGCACACCCGCCCACCAGTCTAACGCTGACTTCCCCATCCTTCAAGTACCACAACTGCCTGCATCTACTCCAGAAATTTTCCACTTCTCACAGGTCCCCAAATATGTCCACTGCTGACTCACTTCTGGATCTTCATTTACAACAGTCACTCTACCTAGAATATCATCTCTGTGTCTGGTATTCATCTGTTCTTGCAGCTACCCTTTATGTGCAGAGAGCAGTTGGCTGTGCAGCCCTGTGAAGAAACTCCTGGTGCAGACATACAGAGAGGTCTGGTTGGGACTGGGTGACTCCAGGATCAGGGGGAAATTCTCCTTCATAGACCAATTTAGAAGTCACTTCCTCCAAGACTATTTCCTTGAATCACTGACTGCGTCGTTTCTCTGCTGTGGGTTCTTGTAACAGCCTGAACAGAGCTAACACCAGCACTGAGACACCACCATGAACTCACCAGCCGTTGACTTCTCTGTTCTATAGCTTTTTGTCTCCTTGGAATAGGTAGGTCACGGGTAGAGGTATGATGTCCTTGAACCTGGTTTGCTGGACCCTACATTAAGCCTTTTCCTGGTGGTTACACATCAGGATATTTCCCACATTCTCTCTTTTTGTCCACAATATCCATGAATGCTGGTGTCACTGAAATTTCAGTTTATCAAGCTTCAGAGTCAGAAAAGAAAGTTTTCTAATATAACCAGAATATGTTTTATGACCTATATGTGCTGAGCCAGACAAGAGCCAGGAATGAAGCTGCAAGTAATCTATTTCTCAGTTGGTGCTTAGAGAACAAACAAATAGAAAGTCTCTAATAGACCTGTGTCTCTTGAGATAAGACTGAGCATTTCTTACAACCTCCAGACATCCAGCCCTTCGCAGCCCTCCCGGCTGTTAACCTGCAGCACTACACAGCCACTTCCTCTCTGCACAGAAAAGGCTGCCACAGGGAGAGATGGTCTTACCTTCCTGAGCCTGCCCTTACCAGAGGAAGCCACTGCCACCACAGAAGCTCTCAGGAGCCTTTCCCAGCTCCTTGCACTGAGACTTTCAGAGATCTGGGAGCCCTGGTCTGTAAAAGTTTGTCCCCGGCCAGGTGCGGTGGCTCATGCCTGTAATCCCAGCACTTTGGGAGACTGAGGCAGGTGGATCACGAGGTCAGGAGTTTGAGAGCAGCCTGGCCAACATGGCGAAACCTCTTATCTACTGAAGATACAAAAAACTGGCCAGGCATGGTGGCGCTCACCTGTAATCCCAGCTACTTGAGAGGCTGAGGCAGGAGACTCGCTTGAACCTAGGAGGCAGAGGTTGCAGTGAGCCGAGATCAAGCCATTGCACTTCAGCCTAGGTGACAGGGTGAGACTCCATCTCAAAAAAAAAAAAAAAAGTCGAACGCCAGGTAACAACGCACCTGTAGACTGAGCTGTCAATGTCCTCTTTCCCTTCGTTCTCATTTGCTGTCTCAACAGGGCTTCCTCAGCCTGGGCTCTTTATTAGAATTTACCTGCATCAATCCAGTACCCCCTCACACTACCTACGAGAGAAGGCTGCATTCTATGTACAGTCTTCCGGGGTCCTCTCCAGGGCCCCTTTATGTTCACCTGTGTGCCGGAGACAATTTGAATCTTAGTCTAACACTTTTCATTTAAGTAGGTCAGACTACACTATGCACTTACATATTTCGCCAGCAGAAGCTTTGAGACTTCGTGTCTTGTAAAATTAAAAAAAAAAAACTGTAATAAAGATAAGAATGTTTACGGATGTAAAACTCTGTGTAAGCAAATAGTCTAGTAAAACTGAAGTTCAAAGGGTGTTTGTGTTGGGTAGCTGTGTTAGCATGCTTGATTTATGGTAAGGCCAAGTCTGTTGGATTAGATATTAGATGTTCACAGTAATGTCAAAACTGAGGAATATAGTCTGAATAATTATAACTATTTTATATTATTGCAAACAACTTAAAAACTATTGTATGACTATGATTGATGTGTATTGTGCGACTATGATTGATGTGTATTGTGCATAGATACAGTTTCAAAGAGTGTTTAGACCATTAGAACGTTTTAAGGAAAAATGTTAGCAAAATAACCACAAGTAACATGTTACTGGAAAATGTAGTATAAGCATTGCACTGACAATTGTATCTGACGCTTTTGTTTTGATCGGTGGTTCTCAATGTGTACCAGAATTACTTGGTGAGATTTCCTTGTATTGTGGGAATAACACTTAGCATGAAACCTAACCTTTAAACAAAACTAGTGTGCAGTATGATATAGTTAACTCTAGGGGTGATGTTGTATAGCAGATTTCTAGAATGTAATTATCTCGTATAATTGAAATTTTACACCAGTTGAATGGCAACTCAACACTACCCTCTCCCATTTTCCTGCAATCATCCTTCTACTCTCTGCTTCTGTGTGTCTGACAGGATGCTGAGTTTAATAAGCCTGTCACAGAAGGACAGATGTTGCATTGAAGGAGTCTTTTATCACCAAAACTGTTTCGAATTTCTGGCACGTGGTGATAATAAAAGCAAAATCGTTTCACTTGGATTTTATGATTATTTTCAAATGCTTTACGCCCTTTATGGCTTGCACCTGGGGCTAAACATCTACCTCTACCACCCCATTATTGGTCCACCACCATCTCCCCAACCCCATCCGGTAAACCTACACATGTGAGCACCTACAGGAACGTACACATATGGATTTGAACCAGGTTCAAGCCCAGGCAGCATAGTTCCAAAGCCTGCCCATCTAACCCATATGCAACTTGCAGTAATTATTAAGTATATTGTATGAGAAACTAAGACTGCTGTCAAGAAAATATATTTTGGAAGTGAGAAGACAGACAGACAGACAGAGAGAGAGACAGAGAGAGAGAGAGAGAGGGAGAGAGACAGAAAATGGTAAGGTTTTGCTAATCACAGTTGGTCAGGAAAAAAAAATTACCTTCACTTTCAAAGACTGAGACTCACCAGAAGGATTCATGGGACCCGGCGTGTCCTTGTACCCATAGCAAAGACGTGTTACAAGGATGTAGTAAGAATACTATGATCAAAAGGAACAAAGACATGGTGGAGTTTGAAGAAATTCACATGAGACGTCCTCATGTGCTCTGCTCCCCGGAGAGAGCACAGTCTATCCCAACACTGACAATGCAGCAACGTAAGAACAACATTTCTGCCCAGGGAAGCTCATTAGAGACTCAGCACCTCCAGAACTTTTGGTGGCTGGTGTTAGGAACTGAATTGTGTCATTAAATATTCACATGTTGAAATTCTAACCTCCAGTACTTGAGAATATGGCTATGTTTGGAGATAAGGATTTTACAGAAGTGGTCAAGGTTAAATGAGGTCTTTACTAACATGACTGTTATCCTTTTAAGAGGAAATTAGGACACAAACATGCACAGAGGGACAGCAATGTGCAGGCACAAGGGGAAGCCATCTACAAGCCAAGGAGAGAGGCTTCACGAGAAACCAACCCTCCTGACACCCTGATCTTGGACATCTACTCTCCAGAAGTGTGAGAAAATAAATTTCTGTTGTTTAAACAACTCGGTCTGGGGTGACTTATGGCAGCCCTCACAAAATAATTCAGCTGATCACATCAGCACCCTCTGCCTATCATGCAGCAGAATTCCAGAGTTGAAGTGAAGCAGGTATTCGGCCTAACCCACATGGTTTGTGCAAGCAGTCTAGGCACAGTAAGCCACGCTTACCAGTTACCGATGGTGGGAACACTCCCCAAATTCAAGTTCGCAGATGCAAATCAAGAGCCAACCATGCAAGCTGGCCCTTCTAAGGACAGCTGTCTCAGGCCCGCTGTGTTAACTCTTTTCTATATGTGCACACACACACACACACACACACACACACACACACACACAGTGACTTCCATGAGAACAAGGGATGCCCTTCACTCTCTAGCACCTCTATATCTTTTCTAGCCTAGACAATGCCTGAGGGATTATGAGTGTGGGCTGGGACAATGACATCACAGACCGTCAACCCACAGCCTGGTCCTGGGAGAAGACCTATTCTTTCTTCAGAACAGCCATGGGAATCAGGCTTCTCTGTAGTGTGGCCTTTTGCTTCCTGGGAGTAGGTGAGTCCTGGGAGTAGCTGGGTCTGGGGAGTTGGTGGCAACCCCTGTCCTACTGTTTTGAGGCCTTGTATACAAAGATATTTTTCTCCTCAGGCTTCCTGGTGGCCTTTTTTTTTTTTTTTTCACCCTTGCTATCTGTCTCTCACAGGCCTCGTGGAAGTGAAAGTAACCCAGAACCCGAGATATCTAGTCAAAAGGATAGGAGAGAAAGTTTCTCTGGAATGTGCCCAGGATATGGACCATGAAAGAATGTTCTGGTACCGACAAGACCCAGGTCTGGGGCTACAGCTGATCTATTTCTCATATGATATTAAAAACGATGAAAAGGGAGATGTTCCTGATGGGTACAGTGTCTCTAGAGAGAAGAAGAAGCAGTTCATCCTGATTCTGGGGTCTGCCCGCACCAACCAGACATCTGTGTATCTCTGTGCCAGCAACCCACCCACAGCGCAGCACGCCACATCCTCTCTGCACAAAAAGAGCAGACATTGGAAAGAAGAGCCCCTAACTCAGGACTGATGCTGGCTCCAACGGCACATTCATGATCAATAGAAAAAAGGGACTTCTAAAGAGAAACTAGCTCCATAAGCACATTTCTTTGCAAGGAGAAAATGAGGTATTATTTCTCACCCCTTTACAAGTCAGGGACTGTTCTAGATTTAGTCCTCCCAATCCAATGTGTTGTAAATTTCCGAGTCCCAACAAGGAGGAGAAGTCCTCTTGCATATTCACACTTAGCCCGGTTCTACCATTTCTTTAATTAATGTTACCTTGTCTCTCTTGCTGTGCATTTTCTACTTTGCTTAGTGTTTTCCTCTTGGTTGATATTTCACTAGAGGACATTAACATATTCCAGATTCTTTAGATGATTCTTACTGTCCATGTGCTGATTCAAGAGAAAGTTTATGGAATTTGAATTCCGTTATTCAATTTAGAAAGAGAAAAACTGATTAAAACAAATCTTCCTCCAGGTTCTCTGATCAATCTTATTTTGCTGGGAAAAATTCTGATCACAGAAGGTTCAAACCACGCTGCAGAAGCTGGAGGAATTAGGCTATAACTATACTCACTATCTTCTGGAAAAAGTGTGTATTTGTCTGTTTTTAAGAATAAAACACATACTCTTCTGCCAGTAAAAATTAACGGTGCTTTGGAAATACAAGTAAATGTAAAGGGTATTAGAAATCCCAAACTGCAGAGCACTTACACAATTATTATTGGCAAGACAAAACAGGCATGTGAAAACGTATTTTGATTCAGTGCTAAATTTTTAAGTGGAAGAAGTCAGAGAAAAAAGTTAAATCAATATGTATCACAATATTCAAGATTATGTTTGTATGAGATAGGACTTGAGCTGATTTTGAATACAAGTAAATGAGGGAAGAGAAACTACTGAAAGGAAGAAATACCCTGCAATGTTTCTGTGAGAGATTCTACAGGAATGAAGAGGAAGATTCTTTCCCTGAGAAAAGGCAGGAATCACAATTCTCCTGGCTGAGGTCAACATTCAGAACAGAGAAAGCACATCTTCCTAAAATATGATTAAATCCTTTCTCTTTTGCCCCAAGGATACAAGCTAGCGGTGCTTCAGGCTGCAGCGTTTACCATGAGATAACATACAAGATTTGATAGAAGAAATTCTTTCACCACCTTCTAAAAATTACAGTCCTTAACAACTACATCCTGTTCAAGAAGGAGAATTCTGAGCACTTGATTAGCCATACAAGCTTCAGACTGACATTGATTAAAAGGGTGCTGAAAAAACATCACGACCCAGGACAGCAACGTCTCTGAGGTCGTCCATGCTCTGATGATGTCACACGTCTTTGCCTGTCTGGAAGAGACTTCCCCAAAAGCATTACCACCAACATCAAAGAAACAAAACACAACGGGTCATTGCAACTTTTGCTGCTTGCCCGTGACAAGGATGGCAAGAAGATCTGTAGAGAAAGGCAATGTTTTCGTGTGGAATGTGATGTTCCGATTTCTGTTGTTCTGTGCTTTGCAATTTTCCCCCATAAAAAATTATCGAATACTGATTATTATATATATTTATGTTACATTAGGATTGGAGACAGTTCTGTTCAGAAATAACTCCAAGAACAGTTTTTATATTTTATTTTCATCTTGATAATCAGTCAAATTTGCTTCAGCCTCAAAGAGCATGTTTATGTCAAACTAAATGAATGCTGGCAGCGAGCTGCACTTTTTTTACTAAACAGGAAAAGGGTTAAATAACAGAACACCATGTCTACAAACTTTATATTCAGTGAACCTTCAGGGTTTCTGAGAGTCCTACATTTTCCCATAGATTTCTTATAGCAAGTATTGCCCAGACTCCGATCAACTGCAAGAGATGGGAACAGGTACCAGCACTGTGTGTCCATTCCCAGGGCTATGTGGGGCCATTTCTATCATGTTGATCATCACCTCAGTTGAGTCCCTGGTAGAAAGAGTGCTATGCCAGACTCTTCTGGCATGGTTACCACCTGCTCCCTTCAACACAGCCTCACTTTGCTAAGTAAATGTAGCCCAGGGAGAGAGGAATGGAAAATAGGCAGAGATGGAGTATCAAACAATAGAGTGAGTAACAGAAGACATCTAAAGTGGGCAAAAGGATTATAGATTGGGATAGAAGATTTGAATTTAGATAAACAAATGAAAAAATGTTTACTAGGGGGAGTTCAAAGCTCACAGAATAGACGTTTAAAGGTATGTAATTGATCACAGATGTTTACCATGAGGGTACAGAGAATAATTCAGAAAATGTAAACCATTATTTCACTAAACATACATCACATTAGGAGGCCAACAAATTCACAGAACATAAGAATCGCTACTCTAAATCTGCAAGTAAGCAATTTTTTAAAAATTTTTACTTAGTTTTACTTTCAGTTCTGGGATACATACGTAGAACATGCAGGTTTGTTACATAGGTATACATGTGTCATGGTGGTTTGCTGTTATCTATCAACCCGTCATCTAGGTTTTAAGCCCCATAAGCATTAGCTCTATGTTTTGATGCTCTCCCTCCCCTCGCCCCCAACCCCTGACAGGCCCTAGTGTGTGTTGTTCCCCACCCTGTGTCCATGTGTTCTGACTATTAAACTCCCACTTATGAGTGAGAACATACGGGGTTTGGTTTTCTGTTCCTGTATTAGCTTGCTGAGGATGGTGGCTTCCAGCTTTATTCATGTCCCTAGAAAGGACATGGTCTCATTCCTTTTTGTGGCTGCATAGTATTCCATGTTGTATATGTGTCACATTTTCTATTCCAGTCTATTATTGATGGGCATTTGGGTTCATTCCATGTCTTTTAAGCAATGTTTTAAATTATGTGATTTGGGAAAATAAAAACAAAATAAATTATTTTTTTGTTGAACAGGAGTATTATCAGAGCTCTTTGCTGAGACACAGCTGGGAAGAGGTATAGTCTCCTCCTGCAGGGAACAAGGAAAATTTAGAGAAAGAAGCATTTCTTTTCTCTAGAGAGCACCGGGTAATCACAGGTAGTTTATACATATAACATACAACAGTCCTGACATACAGGCATTATTTTCTCCTAATTAAAAATACATTTAAATAAGCTAAGTGTAATTAAACCTAAATTTAAATGACTTGCCTATAGCCACATAGCTGAAAAGTTAGTGGAAAAGGCATGTTTCTATATTGTTTTTTAAATAATAAGATAATTGAATCCAATATAGATAAATCTCTGTCCTCATCTGAATGGGTCCCAAATCCAACCATTAGGGCAAAGATGTAGTCCACACAGCCAGAGAATTGGACCTCCTTCCTTTGGACCAGCAGGATAGCCACAGCACCAAAGACATTTTTCATGTCTTAGCACAAACTTCTAACCACCTCCATTTTGAAGTAGATGGATGAAGGCTTAAGAGTAGAAACTGGGTCTTGTTAGTAATGGACAAGTGGACACAGTCATATTAATTGTTTTACAACATTCTTTGATAATCCCTGTTAATCCAGCTGCAGATGTATTGTTTCATCATTTATCTTCCATGTCCCCATCCCAAGATTAATATTGAAGGCTTTGTAAAATTAAATTATCTCAATTTCCAGTATCCTCCTAATTGACCTAGCCAATTTTGTATGGCTTGAAAAATTGGGAAATGTCTTCTTGTCTGTGCTAGATCTTCTTCAATTAATGTCAATTCATTAAAACAGAAATAGCAAGAAACTAACAGTCAAAGGGGTTTCTTCATCCCATTATTCCCTATAAAAGGCAGTGACAGGTACCTAGATATAACATAGATCTCTTCTGCCCTCTGTTGAGGACATCAGAACTGGCTCAGTTCACTCAGACACTGGTGGCAGAAAGTTGAGGGAGATTTCCTCTATGCTCAAGCTTTTGGTAGAATCAACTGGTACCTGTTCTGTCCAATGGATGCTGTCTTATTTAACTTGGGACACTGAAGGGGTACTATTCACTAATGAAAACATTAAAAAGCAAGCCATAAGATATCTTTAAAGAGAGAGAAAATGTAATGAAGGATGTGTAATCATTGCATAGTGTATCACTCTGTTTTCACACTGATGACAAAGACACACAAGAGACTGGGAAGAAAAAGAGGTTTAATTGGACTTAACAGTTCCACATGGCTGGGGAGGTTTCAGAATCATGGCAGGAGATGAAAGGTGCTTCTTACATGGTGGAAGCAAGAGAAAAATGAGAAAGAAGCAGAAGGGGAAACCTCTGAGAAACCCATCATATCCATCATATCTCATGAGACTTATTCACTACCATGAGAAAGCATGATTCAATTATTAAACCTCCCCCTGAGTCCCTCCCACAACATGTGGGAATTCTGGGAGATACAATGCAAGTAAAGTTTTGGGTGGGCACGCAGCCAAGCCACATCATTCTGCCCCTGTCCTCTCCAAATCTCACGTCCTCATGTTTCAAAACCAATCATGCCTTCTCAAGAGTCCCCCAAGGTCTTATTTCAGCACTAACCCAAAAGTCCACAGTCCAAAGTCTCATCTGAGACAAGGCGAGTCCCTTCTGCCTATGAGCCTGTAAAATCAGAAGCAAGCTAGTTACTTCCTAGATACAATGGAGGTATGGGGATTAGGTAAATACAGCCATTCCAAATGGAAGAATTTGGCTAAATTACAGCCCCCATGAAAGTCCAAAATCCAGCAGGGCAGCCAAATTTTAAAGCTCCAAAATGATCTCCTTTGACTCCAGGTCTGACATTCAGGTCACGCTGATGCAAGAGGTGGGTTCCCATGGTCCTAGGCAGCTCCACTCCTGTGGCTTTGCAGGGTTCAACCTCCCTCCTAGCTGCTTTCACAGGCTGGCATTGAGGGTCTGTGGCTTTTCCAGGTACAAGGTGCAAGCTGTTGGTGGATCTACCATTCTGGGGTCTGGAGGACAGTGGCCCTCTTCTCACAGCACTACTAAGCAGTACCCCAGCAGGAACTCTGTGTGGGGGCTCCAACCTCACTTTTCCATTCTGCACTGCCCTAGCAGAGGTTCTCCATGAGAGCCCCGCCCCTGCAGCAAACTTTTACCTGGGCATTTCCATACATCCTCCGAAATCTAGGCAGATGTTCCCAAACCCCAGTTCTTACTTTTATGCACCCACAGGCTCAACACCACATGAAAGGTGCCAAGGCTTCCACCCTCTAAAGCCACAGCCTGAGTTCTATGTTGGCCCCTTTCCTCCATGGCTGGAGTGGCTGGAACACAAGGCACCAAGTCCCTAGGCTGCACACAGCATGGAAATCTTGGGCCTGGCCCACAAAAGCACTTTTTCCTCCTGGGCCTCTGGGCCTGTAATGGGAGGAGCTGCCATGAAGGTCTCTGACATGGCCTGGAGACATTTTCCCCATGGTCTAGGGGATTACCATAAGGCTCCTTACAACTTATGCAACTTTCTGTAGCTGGCTTGAATTTCTCCTCAGAAAATGGGTTTTTCTTTTCTACTGCATCATTGGGCTGCAAATTTTCTGAACTTTAACGTTCTGTTTCCCTTTTAAAATTGAATGCTTTTAATAGCACCCAAGTCACTTTTTGAGTGCTTTGCTGCTTAGAAATTTCTTCTGCCAGATACTCTAAATCATGTCCCTCAAGTTCAAAGTTCCATAAATCTCTAGGGACAGAATGCCACCAGTCTCTTTGCTAAAACATAACAAAGGTCACCTTTGCTCCAGTTCCCAACAACTTCCTCATCTTCACCTGAAACCGCCTCAGCCTGGACCTTACTGTCCACATCACTGTCAGCACTTGTGTCAAAGCCATTCAACAATTCTCTACGTTGTTCTAAACTTTCCCACATTTTTGTGTCTTCTTCTGAGTCCTCCAAACTGTTCCAACTTCTGCCTGTTACCCAATCTTAAAGTTGCTTCCACATTTTTGGGTATTTTTTCAGCAACATCCCACTCTACTGGTACCAATTTACTGTATTAGACCATTTTCATGCTGCTGATAAAGACATATCTGTGACTGGAAAGAAAAAGAAGTTTAATTGGACTTACGGTTCTACATGGCTAGGGAGGCCTCAGAATCATGGCAGGAGGTGAAAGGCACTTATTATATGGTGGTGGCAAGAGAAAAATGAGAAAGAAGCAAAAGTGGAAACCTCTGATAAACCCGTCATATCTCAGGAGACTTAACTATCATGGGAATAGCACGGACGGGAAAGACAGGCTCCCATGATTCAATTACCTCCCCCTGGGTTCCTTCCACAGCACATGGGAATTCTGGGAGATACAATTCAAGTTGAGATTTGGATGTGGACACAGCCAGACCATATGACATAGTATATATTGAAAATGTGTAGTCAAGTAACTTGGATGAGATACACATCACCAGACACCATACAGCTACCTGCCTAACAAAAGAAGCCAATAATTACAGTCTATTAACGGTAACATTAGACAGACAAATGGTTACATGGTAATGTTAGAATTCATGCCTTGGGATGCTCTGACGTGATGTACTCATATATTACATTCTTGTCTAAAAATAATAGATAAGTGTTCAGAAGACATTGCCCTCAATGAACTCATATTACTTATTAATTATTGCCATTCTGCCTTACAAATGCTCAAAAATCTATATATTTAATAATCAGTTATATTTTACGCATGTGTAGGGTTGTAGGGTAAGAAGAGAGCTGATGTTAAATTTACTAACTTATAGTTTCTAGGTATATAACTATTGCTTGCT